ATTTGCATTTCACTTACAAAAAAATTGGGGGTGGGGCTGAAAGAAATGTTTTCTTAATATAATTTTAGGTACCTAGGTATATCATGAGGGATGGAATATTTGTGGGCAGAAAAAAAAAAAAAACTCCCTGGGTTGTCCCATTTGCCCAGTTCTCTGTACAGTTCACCTTAGAAGCCGTATCCCATAAACCCCACGAGAACCTTGCAATCCGTGGGATTCAGCCACACCTGTGAGTCTACTCCCCACCCTGCCCGCAGCCCAGCCCTGCCCACGCACAGTCATTTACACACCCACTGCATAAATCATGGCACGCCTGGATGCTGTGGGCATGTCCCACAGTCTGTTTACATTTTTCAGAAAATCTGTGCAAAGAGAATTTGAGGCAAGCACATCATGGATTTTTTATTATTAAAAAAAATCTCTTGGGGCTGGGGTTGTGGCTCAGCGGTAGAGCACTTGCCTCACATGTGTGAGGCACTGGGTTCAATTCTCAGCATCACATATAAAAAAATGAATAAAATAAAGGTCCACCAACACTAAAAAATGTTTTTAAAATATTTATTTTTTAGGTGTAGATGGACACAACCCAATGCCTTTATTTTTATGAGGTGCTGAGAATCGAACCCAGGTCCCACCCGTGCTAGACGAGTGCTCTACCACTGAGCCACAATCCCAGCCCTACTAAAAAATATTTTAAAAAAAATCTCAAATACACAGATGAGTTGAAGAACAGCCATCATGGAGATATAACAATTATCAATATTTTGCCACATTTATTTTATTTTTTGCAAAAGTACAGAAAGTAAATTACAGAAATCGTGTCATTTCATCTCAAAACATTTCAGTATGCACCTGTCTAAAAATAAATGTATTTCCCTTTATTACCACATGCTAGTGTAATTGCCAACAAAATTCCTTTTCATCCTCCTGATCCTCTTTATTGATCGATATTCCACTTTCTCCAACCAATTCAGGAAATGTCTTTCGCAGACATTGGTTCAAATATGCAAGGGATCGGGTTGACACTTTCCATCTGCTTTTTCCTAACAACACTGATATTTGTCAGTTGCTTCCTAGGGATGGCGTTTAATTTGTTCCCCTCTCCCCTGCTTCTCCTAAAAATTGGAAGTATAGACCAAAGTCTGAATTCCATTCACATTGGTTATTTTTAGCACCAGCGTTTCCCTGGCCATGATGCTGTGTGTCTTGAAGGGCACTTGACCCAGGACACTGATGTCCTTGTCATCCAAGCGTGTGTTGCTGAGGCTGAGATCCGGGCTCAGGTGGGGCAGCCAGGTCCTCCGATGTAAATTACGGGTTTGCCTTGCCCGGCAAGCAATTTGTGGGGTGACATTTGGCACCAGGAATCCTGTTTAAAATGCTTTACGTAAGCTTGGCTCCTGGCTGACCCCCTTTGGGAAAGAAAGACCGTTCTGGGATTTCCAGTTTCTGTGTCCGGGTCTCAGTCTTCACAGCTGTAAAATGAGCAGCTGGCTGGGAACCTTCTACCTCTGGCATGTTCCAAAAGGGGGACAGGAGTGATTTGCGTCCTGGGAGCCGGCCCCTCCTGAAGTCTGCCCCTCCGCCCCTCCCCCTCCCAGGCAACGAGACCAACACCTGCCTGTGCCTCAACGCCACCGTGTGCGAGGTCTTCCGGAAGGGCTACCTGATGCTCTACCCCTTCAGCACCGAGTACTGCCTCATCTGCTGTGCCGTGCTCTTCGTCATGTGGAGGAACGTGGGCCGCCGCCTGGCAGCCCACGCGGGCCCGCGCCCCGGCACCCCACCCTTCCACCTGCACGGGGCCATCTTCGGGCCGCTGCTGGGCCTGCTGGCGCTGGTGGCCGGCGTGTGCATCTTCGTGCTCTTCCAGATCGAGGCCAGCGGCCCTGCCATCGCGCGCCAGTACTTCACCCTGTACTACGCCTTCTACGTGGCTGTGCTGCCCGCGATGAGCCTGGCGTGTCTGGCGGGCACGGCCATCCACGGGCTGGAGGAGCGGGAGCTGGACACGCTTAAGAACCCCACCCGCAGCCTGGACGTGGTGCTGCTGATGGGCGCCGCGCTGGGCCAAGTGGGCATTGCCTACTTCTCCATCGTGGCCATTGTGGCCACTCACCCGCAAGAGCTGGTCAACCGGCTCATTCTGGCCTACTCGCTGCTGCTCATCCTGCAGCACATCGCCCAGAACCTCTTCATCATCGAGGGCCTGCACCGCCGGCCGCTCTGGGAGGTGCCTCCGGAGGGCCCCGCAGGGAAGTGCGAGGCCCAGCCTCCCCGCAGGGGCTCCCTGCTCGAGTTGGGCCAGGACCTGCGCAGGGCCTCCCTGGCCTATATCCACTCCTACAACCACCTCAACTGGAAGCGTAGGATTCTCAAGGAGATCTCACTCTTCCTCATCCTCTGCAATATCACAGTGAGTGGCTGGACTGGGACTTGGGCGGGTGTGGTACTGGCAGGTAGATTCAGGACTCAAGAAGTGATGCATCAAGGTCACATGCTTCTTTCTAACCACAACAATGATGCTTGAGAAGAGGGAGTGTCAACCCCAGCTCTTGCCAGCTGCCCAGCACGAATAAATGTGCCGAGCAGACATCGAATTCTCCTTACACATGTGTAACATTTCTGCCCTCCAGAAACTTACTGTCTAGTTGGAGAGAACCAGGGGACCGATTAGAAAATTACTGCTGAACTCATCATTCACTATATTTGGTCAAAAGAAGAGCTCAGCAAGTGCAAGTGTCTGATTTTCTACTAAAAAAAAAAAAAAAAAAAATTTAAATCTCTAATTAAAGTCAGTGGTGACAATTGCTTAGCTTCTAGTGGTTGCTAAGTTCCAGGGCCACCTCTCCATGCAACATCTTCACATTTAACCCTACACAAAAGACACTGTTACTGTCCCCACTGGACAGATGGAGAGACCAGGGTGTAAGTTGTTTGGCCTGCCAAAGGTCCTATAAGTGGCAGGGTTGTTTGGTCCCCAACCCCTGATGCCCTGAAAACACCCCAGATATGAGACCCCCTGGTCCATAGAGAGAACAAGTAATATATTGGCTCTTAAGTATGTTAGGAGCTCAGTAAAAAAAGCATGGGCCCGAGTGGCCAAGGCAGGCTTCAGGGAGGTTTGATCTGGGGCTTGAGGAATGGGTAGAATTTGATCAGGAGGGTGGGAGGGGAGGGGGCTGGCTGTAGCTGCAGAAGAGTGAAGCCTGAGCTCAGGGTACAGGGGAGTCCCCAGGCTGCTTGCTGGGAATTCCTGCCATGTCATGTGTGGAGGCTGCCCCGGGGCTCAGGATGCATCTGGAGTTCAGGTTGGCCCCAGACAAGCCAATGAGGAGGTGCTCAGGCTTCTGTGGAATGGGAACAGGAGGACATGGGGGCAGAGGAGGTTGCTCCCAAAGCCCAAGGCTGATGCGGTGGGGCAGGGCCAAAGGAACCAAGGGTACTGGGGCCTGCTTCCCCCGAGCTGAGCACTTGGGGTGTGGCAGAACCCTCCCCCACTCAACAACCCCCTCTCCCTCCCGCCAGCTATGGATGATGCCTGCATTTGGCATACACCCGGAATTTGAGAATGGGCTGGAAAAGGATTTCTACGGTTACCGGACGTGGTTCACCATCGTCAACTTTGGCCTGCCTCTGGGGGTCTTCTACCGCATGCACTCTGTGGGAGGGTTGGTGGAGGTTTACTTGGGGGCCTGAGGCTGCCCCAGGAAACCACCCTCAGCAAAACCCTGAAGTGCCAAGGCAGGGGAGATGCCAACCTGGAGTCTCTGGGAAGATGCTTCATTCCAAGGCGCAGAGACCAGCCTGGGGCTCCCAAAGCCCTCTCCTCCCCAAGACTTGCCGACCAGAGAAGACTGCCTATAGCTCAAGACCAAGGGCAGAGTCTGGACACTGATCTTCAGATGCCCACGTCCAGGCCTGCACACACGGCCGCCCCTGCCTCACCAGTCCCTGCAGCCAAGGGTACACCCCAGGAGGCTGGTGAGGGCCCGTGCTACACTTGAGAAGGGCCAGTCCTAACTAACACAGTCTAGGGGCTTTGGAGACGGCCGCCCCTCCCCAGCCAGGCCTCCAGGGGTCTGCTTCCTCCCCTGGGAGGGGTGCACGGCCTGAGTATGGCCAGGACCTCCTGCAAGCTCAGAGCTGGCAGGCAGCCCCGCCCCTCCCCACACACCCCGTCTCCTAATGAGCTCGTTAATTAACTGCCAGGTGGGGTTCAACAGCTCTCTGCTGCTGCCATAAACCCTGTTTGTTTGATCGATCACTTCTGAGCTTCGTGGCATTTGTTCTTGGGGACAGAACTGCTACTCCAGGCATGGTTGGAAGGATGGTCCTCCTGGGCAGTGCTGTGGGCCCGGACAGACCCATTCCTGGGCCCGTCCACTCCTTCCCTTCTCTGATCCAACCCAGGGCTCATGTACCCACCCTCCACCCTCCACCATTAGGACAGTGCCTCCAGGGGACCCTCTGCTGCTGGCTCACCACAGGTGGTCACTGCAGCCTCTGGCAGCTGGTCCCTAGGCCTGCCTGGCCCCCTGAGCCATCAGGTGGAACAGGAAGGTGAGTGAGAAGGCAGGCCTGACAGCCCATCCATCTCCCTGAGCCCAGTGCAAACAGCCGGCTGTGCCCAGGGAGAGGCCCAGAGGCTCAACCCTCCCCTGGGTTCCCACTCCCCGGAAGTGAGGCACCAGCAAACAATGCCCCAGGGCCCCCCAACACTTCCTGGGGCCACCCACGGGGCTGAGAATCAGGCCCTCAGCCTCTCCTGTGTGGGCTTTTCTCTGGGTAGCCACAGTCAAGGGCCTAAACCTACTTGACAGGGCCCAATCCTACTTTCCCACTCGAAATGACAAATGCCAGTTCCTAGTCATTGTTAAGAACCCTCAGGGGACGGACTCTGGGGTACAGAGTCCCCAGCTGCCCTGAAGATAAGGGTCACAGTCTGGCGCCTACCCCGATTCCAAGCACAGAGGCAGAGGCTAGAGAGGGAGGTTTTATTGTGTAAAGTGGCCGATTGTACAGAGCAAAGATTGTACTGACCAGGTGGGGCGAGGGAGACCCAGAGGCCCGAGCGGGGGGCCGCTGGAGTGGTGGCACCCCCATCCTCCACACAGTGGGTGGGGCAGGTAGGGTTGACAACTGCCCCCTGGTCCTGCCCAACAGCAAGGCTGTATCCACTGACCCAGGGAATATTAAGGGGACCCTCAATACCCCACTCCAAACCCCTAAAACCCTCAAGAGCCCCCAGTCTGGCTCTGTAGTCGGCCAGCCCCCAGCCCCCTCAGCCAACAGCCTGGTCACACTCCATTTTCCTGTGGGCCCTGGCAGAGATCCGACCTAGAACAAGTGGTTTCAGGGTAGAAGGCCAGGAGGGTTCCCCTAGACCTGCCCAGGTGCCTCAGGACAGCCCACGGCTCCTTGGGCAAACCCATCAGGGCACAGTGACCTGTGGGGCAGCACAGGAGTGTGCAGGCACTGAGGGGTCAGCACAGAAATGTGTCTTGAAGAGGGAACCAGAACAGGGAGGGGGCTCTGGCAGGACCTGTAGTCACAGAGGCACGAGGCTCCTAGGAGGCCCGTCTGGGGAGAAGGGGGTTAGAACTGGGCTCCATCCTCCCCAGGCATTAGGAGCCCCGGGGCCTGCCACCCAGGAGGACCTGGCCACTCTGCCCACCCCAGGCCATGGTGGTGGTCATTTAAAGCTCAGAAGACCGGGGCAGGGGGAGCAATAGGGACCAGGGGCCCCCACTCCATTTCTCTGCAGGCCTCCATCCTCACACCCGCTGGATCTCAAAGAGCTTCACATCGGTGTCATACCAGATGGGTGGGTCCACATTCCTGCAGAGGAAGTGGGCTGTCACCTTCACAAGGAAGGGAGATGCAAGGTGACAGCCAGCCCAAACCAAACTCTCTTCGTGATGTCCCCCCTGGACAGGGGGTCCAACCCTCAACCAGGAAAGACCACCATGATTGACTGTCTTGACATTAACCCCTCTGTGGATGGGGGGACCCGGAGCCAAGGTCCCTGCTGAGCCCTGCTGGACAGGCTCTCTGGTGGACCCCAGACCCACCCAGGATAGTAAGCAGGGCCCACCTCAGGTAGATGACACCCCACATGTAGGTGCGGAACCACATGGCGGTGCCCGAGTTGGCCTGGTACTTGCGGATGAGGATGGGGTGGGGCACGGGCAGCAGTCCCACCAGGGTGCCGTGCTGCAGGAACCGCAGGATCTCTGACTCGTCCGTCAGGCCCCTACAGGGAGAAGGGGGTCTCCAGCATGCTCAAGTGGACTAGCAGGGCTTGGGGCTCACCCTGGACCTCTGAGGCCCACAGTCCCTGTCACCCCTCCACCCAAACCTGGGCTGGCCCCTTGCCAAAGCCCACCTGCCCGAGCCCCTGAGCCTGCCCAGGCTCTCACTTGTCAATGCAGATCTTCTCCACCTGGGGGACCAGCACCTGCAGCAGCCGCATGATGGTCTGCAAGGGCAACTTCGACTTCCAGGAGAGGACCTGGGGCAGGGACAGAGCTCTGGGGCTGGGGACCCGGAGCCAGGGGTTCTCTCCCAGCAGGCCATGGCCTATACCCAGCAGGGACCATGAACAGGGACTCTCACTAAGGGGAAGAGCCCTTTGGATGTTAAGCAGTCCCACCGGCTGGTGGCTGTGTGTGCGCCTTTCAGGAGACTGTCTCCTTTAACCCTGGCAATGGTGGGAGCAGGGAGGACATTTATTATCCCATGGCTCTGCCTTCAGTGGGAATGTGAGTGGGAAGTGATCCAGGGGAGGAAATCAGAGGGTGATTTATTCAGACAGTCAGCACAAAAGTGGAACCTGATCCTGCTGGGGACTCGGCCGACAGTGTAGACAGGGCAAGCTGAGCCAAGAGAGGCCACACACGAGGAAGGTCACCAGCCGGAAGGACTGACCCGAAGCCAGAGCCCAGCTCCCATGCCAGAGGCACGTTTGGATACATTTTCATCTCCATCTGTACTGAGCTGTCCCTAGAATCAGGGAACCCCTGACTCAGCTCCCACAGGGCCGCCTGCCCACACACCATCCCTGCTCCTCCAGTGCGAGGCCCCTCACCCAATCTGACGTCGGGCTCCACTGGCCACTGGCTGATGGGCTGGACAGTCGACGCTGCTCCCTCCATGGCTGGCTGGACTCCTGGTGCCCAGGGAGGAATGGAAGTGAGGGGCAAGGAAGCGGATATGGGGCAGGGGCACAGGGCAATGAGGTCTCTCCCCTAGACCTCGTGGACTTGCTTCCAAAGGAAGGGTAGGCCCAGCCCAGCACCCTTTGCTCTGGGCCCCAGGCCCAACCCAGCTTGGTGACAGGTTTAGGACTAGAGGCTGATGGGACAGGACGGGTAAAGGCCAGCCTCAGATAAGGCTGATGGATGAGAAGGCTGACAGCCAGGGCTTTACTGTGACCAGTAAACAAGGGAGGGGTCTGTGATGGCACCCCCCGAGTCATCAGTGCCAACCCCGATGCCCTAGGCATGACACTTGCTACAGGTGACCCCAGAGTGCCCTGGCCCAGCCCATGCCACAGAGGCCAGGGAGGAAGGCAACACCCAGCCTCACCTGCCTCCCGTGTCCCTGTTGCCCCCTTACCCACCCCCTTGGCTGGGCTGCCTTCTGCCAAGCTCTGCTGGGGCTCAGGCTCCAGGGACCGCAAGGTGCCATCCTCTGACACCTGGGACTTCTCTGTCAGCTTGTCTATGCCTGAGTGGGGCACAAGGGGGACACAGGAGAGAGTGAAGGCCCCTGCCACATGCTCCTTCTGTCCTGGCCCAGGTAGCTCCTTGTCCTCCACATGCTGTAGAGGCACTGCGTCTGATCTCCCCTGGTCCCAGCCCCGTGCCCCCCCCTCCCAGAGCCCACTCCCATCCCAGAAGCCCCACAGCCACCAGGCCACCCTCCAGGGGCCAACCCTGTGCCTCCACCCTCATTGCTGTTCCCCTTCTCCACCTTGTAGTTCCCAGCAGGGCCATGCCCTTTGCCAGGATGGGGTGACACCCCAGAGATCACGCCCATCCCCCAACCATGCCAGTAGCCACACCCTCTCCCACTTGCCAGTGACGAACCTGGGGTGGCCACCAGGCTGGTCTTGAGGGTACCCGGCTCTGCAGGGGCAGCAGGGCGGGAACCCTCCATGGAGGCACCCTCCTGGGAACCTGTGCGGGACAAGGGCTCGGGGGTCCGCCGTCGCCGTTGCAGGGCCTTGTGGATGGCGGGCAGGTCAGTGGGCAGGTTGGCCAGCTGGTGGAAGACACTGCGCTTGCGGATGATGGCGTAGACCAGGTTGGAGTTGCCTGTGGGCAGCAGCGCCTGGTCTTAGGGCTGCCGGTTGCCCTCCCCCACCCAATCTGCCAGCTTGGGGGTGGGGGCGGGGTTTGCAGGACAAGAGGGTGTCTTCCCCAGCAGCAGGAGATGGTCCTGGGAGCCCAAGAGAGGGGGCCAGGTCCAGCTGTGTGGGCCAGATGTTACACTGTGGGAAAACAGCTTCCAGACTGAGCTCCCCACATCCCTTCTCAAGACCCAGCACTAAAGGGGAGATCCCTGGCAGAGTGGGGTGGGCCCCACTGCCCACACCAAGCCAGCTGTTGAATATTCTGAAGTGTTCCCTGAACCAGGGAGTCCAGGAGGATGGGGTCCCCCATTCCCATTCAAGTTCCCCCGTGGGGGAAAGTGCTTTCCAGAGCCTCAGTAGCCCCCCAACCAGCCCTGCCTCATACCACGCTCTGCTTTGAGCTCCGCATCCATCCCAGGGCCTCCCTATAGGTCATCCTCCCTCCATAATGCCTCCCACTCGTCCTTCACAGATCAGTGCAAACTTTACTTATTTTGGAAATAATAAGAATTATTGCTAATATGTGAATTGCCAGACATTGTGCCAAGAGCTACCTGTGGGAGCTTTCTGTGCCAACACCCTCTGCAACAGGGACTTCAGTGCTATGTTGTGACCATCTTATAGATAAGGCCACTGAGGCCTTGAGAAGTGGAGTACCGTGTCTAGTCACAAAGCTAGTGAGAGGCAAACCCTGAATTTACACCTGGCAGCGGGGCATCTGTGACACTGGGCAGGACAGCTGCTGGGACAGCTATCAGGGTCTTACCACTCGTCTCCCTGCTATCCAATTTCAGAGGAACTGTTTGATCCAGGTCGGGGGGTCACATATTTAAAGCCTCCTCTGTGCCTTCCTCTCCAGCTGAGCCACATGGGCAGGAAGCACATCTTTTTTTTTTTTTTTTTAATTAAACTCAGGAACACTTAACCACTGAGCCACATCTTCAGCCCTTTATTTTTTTAGTTCTTAATTTAGAGACACGGTCTCTCAGAGTTGCTTAGGGCCTCACTAAGATCCTGAGCCTGGCTTTGAACTTGCAATTCTCTTGCCTCGGCCTCCCGAGCCACTGGGATGACAGGTGTGTGCCACCACACCTGGCGGGAAGCACACCTTCATTCCCCACTGTATCGGCCCTCCTTAGGCAGAAAGACAGCCTCACCCACTGGCCATCCTTATCCCTGCCCCAGAGGTCAGGCCAGGGGGTTGGGCCAGAGCCTCACCATCAAACTGGTACTGGATGATGTTGTTGAAGACCTCTAGAAGGAAGAAGACCAGGTGGTGGTTCTGGGCAGCCGAAAAGAGGAACCAGGTGGTGGAGAAGGCCTCCAGCAGGTGCAGCAACTTGTTGGCAGTCACCATGGACAGGCTCTTGAGGTAGGGCGACACTGCAAGAGAGGCCAGCTCACTCCTGGGCCCCCCACCACCACCCTTGGGCATCCCAGGCCTGGGGGGAAGCACATGCTCCTACTCCCAATCCATCCTGTTCCTGCCTGTGAAGTTCCCTACAAAGTCAGGGAGACCGAGCCTGTAGAGGTCAAGTTCACTCTGGCCATACCTCCTGCAGGCAAGGCACGGACAAGATTGTCCCCATTGTACAGACGAGGAAACTGAAGTTCAGGGAGGCTTATAAACTTGGTCCGAGTTCCCCAGTAATACAATGATAGGGCAGGAAGGGATACAAACTCAGGACTTTTGGGTCTTTCTAGAATGCCAAGCTGCTGTTATCCTTAATATGTATCTTTTAGCACAGCTTTGTGAGGGGGGATAAAGCCCTCATGTAGTTGGGTCAGTGCACACAACCTGATCTGTGTGTCTCTCGTCTCACATCTTTCTCCCTCACCAGGCTGAGGGCTCAGAGGACAGGGCTGGGCGCTATCTTGTTCACATATGCCACACCTAGCTGGCACCCAGGTAAGATTTGTGGGATGCAGCCAATATGTGCATGAGTTACCTGAAGACAGTTCTGGCCCTAGAGCCCACAGCCCAGCCAAAGGCATCCCTGGATCCTATACCACCCACCTACCCTGAGGGCCAAACCTGACCACAGACAAGCCAGCCACTGCCGGCCACCACCATCCTCTCCCAGACACCTACAATGAAACCCTTCTGTGCCAGCCCACAGCCACCCACCTGGATGGGCCCAGCCAGCCTGAGGCCTCCCCACCTCCTTTCCCATTCTGCTCACTTTTGTCCTTGCAGGTGGGCAGGGTAAAGGCAGAGAAGAGGTGGCTTTGACATTCCTCACTATGACCCCAAATCTTCCCTGTCCAATACAGTAGCCATGAGCCACATGTGGACATTAAGCACTTGAAATACAGCTAGTCCTGAGATGTGCCATATGCGTGGACCACAAGATTTTGAAGACTAGGTGTAGGACAGAATGTAAAAGATCTCATTAATAATTTTTGTGTCGGTCACATGTTGAGATGATGGTATTCTGGTTATGGTGGCTTAGGTAAATACATCATAAATCTTCTGTCACCTGTGCCTTTTGTGTTTTTTAATATAGTCCTAGAACATTTCACAGTACACAAGTGGCTTGCATTGTTTCTATGGGATGGAGCAAGTTGGAGCAGGGAGACATGGCCTGTGGCCTGGCGCCACCTGGTGGTGGGCCTGGGGAAGGCAGGCTCAGGCCCTTACCATTGACCACGATGGTGAGGAGGCAGTCAAAGAGGGGCTGCAGCCTCTGGTGGCCGCTGGTGATGATCTTGTGGAATACCTGTGCAGGGACAGAGAGGGGCATCATGGGGTGCCTGCCACCCCCAGACTCACTAAGAGGACATCACTCCCATGCGCCCAGCCCTCACCACAATGAGCAGGTCTGCGTGGGTGCCAGTGAAGACAGGTATGTCCATGGGCACACGCACTGAGTAGGGCTTGTTCAGCCGCACCCCGAAGTTCCGCTCCCCACTCAGGAGCAGCAGGATGAAGACGCCGATGTGCATCAGGCCCACCCGAGCTGCAGCACGCGGCACAGAGGTCACACAGGGTGGTGGTGGGGAGCCCAGGACAGGGGTGCATTTTGGGGGGTGGAGGGAATCCCTCCTGGGAGGTCAGGACGCCAGACCTGAGCTCCTGGGAGGCAGGACAGACTGGCAGGACCCCACCCATCTGCAGGAACCCCCAGTACCTCATGCCCACCCCATCTTACACTGATCTGCTCGTGCATCATTGAGGAAGTAGAGGATGGGAACCAGGATGTCCAGCACATCACTGCTCTTCAGCACAAAGAAGAGAAATTTCTGGAGCAAGTGAGGAAACAGGCAGGCTGGGTCAGTGGAAGGAGCCACTGTACCCCATCTCCTCCTCCAGGTTGGAGAGACCCCAAAGCTCTCTCTGTCCTTGGGATAAATGGACACAGCCTGAGCCCATGAGCCCCTTCTATAGGTCTCCATTCCCCCTCCACCTGCCCACCTTGTTGAAGTCACAGAGCTTCCAGAAGAGGACCAGCAGCTCTTGGTGGAACTGGATCTTCTTGGTGGAGTTGGGCAGGTAGGTCTGGAGCAGGGGGTTGGACAGCAGCCGGGCTATGCCCTTGAGAATGAACTGAAAGTCCTGGGAGGGAGGGAGCAGGGGTCTGTGGAGTCTGGCTCCTCCTGGCGTTGGCTTCCTGTCCAGGCGCCCCCCCCCCCCCAATGCTTTCTCACTCTCCTACATCCCATCCAACCCCCAGAGCTTGAGGGACCCAGTTTCTGACATTATCAATAGGGTCTAAGGGTGGGCCCCTCAGGAAGCCGAGCCTCTGCCCCACCCTCGGCAGACCACAGGCTCCCCTGTTCCCAGGTTACCCGCCCTCTAAACAGACTGCTGCTCCTGGTGACCCCACATGAACACCCTAAACCAGGTCCCTGCCCACCTGGACTTTGTTTTTGTTTTTGTGCTGCTAGGGATTAAACCCAGGGGCACTCTACCACTGAGCTTCATCCCCAGCCCTTTTTATTTAATTTTTATCACTTTGATACAGGGTCTTGCTAAGTTGCCAAGACTGGTCTTGAACTTGCGATCCTCCAGGTGGGCTTGTTGACAGGTGCCATCATTCCACACTGCTTCCCAAATATCCCTTCCTGTCACCCCATCACACGAAGAGCATATGGGGTTTTCAGAGCACCCACCAAAAGCTGGGCTGTCTCTGCTTTTATCCTCACAAGTGGAGACAGCTATGGGTCTCATCCAGTGGCAGAAGTCAGGGCTCTGGGAGCATAAGCACATCCCCATGGACACAAGACACACGCACTCCGGTCTGCCTGGTCTTTAAGTTCACTGTTCACCGTCATGTCCCCCACCCCGGAAACTACCTGAGAGCCACCTCCTCCTGGAAGCCTTCCCAGTTACTCCCACCCAGTTGAGGCCACTGGCTCTTCCTACAACTGGAAATCCCCAAAGTCCCATCCTCACTGTTTAACCTGGGGGTGGCACAAGTTTGCAGAGACCATGGTTCCTTTGTACAGGGGCCAGTACTCCCTCCACCCCCAACAAAGCCAAAGTGATTGTGGGAGATGCGCAGTAAGAATCCAAGGGCAGGGTGTGACTCACCTCCTCCCGATGGATGCGGGACAGGTAGTTCACAAACAGGTTCTCGGGCCCTGGAGGCTGTCAAGAGTGAAGTCCATGGTGAGCTGGTCCTTACCCCAGCCTGGGTGGCAACAGCAAGGTCCCTCCTAAGGCACACCTCAAGGTGCCTCCTGGGTGTCTGTTGCCCAGGGCCTCTGCCCACAGCCCCAGCAGGGCAGCAACCCTCTCCCCGTCAGCCTTACATCGGCATCGTCCATGGCAGTGCCTGTGGTGGTGCCATCCACAGTGGGGCTGGTGCTGGTGGCGCTGTCGTGGTCCAAGGTGACAATGAGCACCTGGGCAGCCTCCTCCACCAGGGGCTCCCGGTAGTCGGAGAAGAGCAGGTGGTTGTAGGGGATCCCGTAGCCCACGGGGTCATAGGCACACACGGTGTTGAGGAGGGAGGTGAAGAGGGGCAGTGCGTGTCTGCAAGGGAGAGAGGGCAGGGCTGCAGGCCACCCCTCAGGCCAGCACTCCAGCCACCCCCAGGGCCACCTCACTCAATAAGCGCCAGGGTCAGGTTCCAGGCTGGCAGCCAGGGAGCAGAGCCATGAGCTTGTCCCTCTGAGTGGGAAAGGCCCTGTTCAGCTATGCCCACCTCCAGCTCTGACCTGGGCCAAGCTTGGCTGACGACAGAGGGATCTGTCTCCCAGAGCGTGAGGGCCACTGGTGAAGGACTTCCTGTAGGGAAGCATGTTCAACCCCTAGCTTCTCAGTGGGCAGAACCCCTCCATGAGGCTCAGAGAAGGGGCCAGAGGCCCAGGGAGAAGGTGGGCTTCCCCCTGGGGAGCAGAGCCCCAGCCCCATCACCTGGCTCCAGGCCACGGAATGACTTGAATCAGATTCGTTTGATGTCAGGGTTCAAGCTCCTCATCTTACAGGTGAGGAAACTGAGACCCAGGGAGGTTAAGTGAGTGACGAAGGTGGCAGTTTGCCTGATAAGGCTTCGTGTGAGAAAGAAAACTCTGGCCAGCCTTTGACTGGCTGGGAAAGGGGGTCAGCCGCTCCTTTCTCTTCTGGGAGTTGGGCAAGGTGGGGCAGGAGGCCAGGAAAACCCGAAAGAGGAGGCGTGCCATGTTACATAGGGATCAGAGCCTGGAAGCAAGAAGGCCAGCCACCAGCCTTTGGGCACCAATGCCTGCACTGCCAGCGCAGCCTGGGCACAGCTGGAGGTACCCAGCGGGAGCATGTCCACCTGCACCAAATAACCTACCACGTGGCTGTGTGACACCAACACATACCCCAAAGTGCCCCCGTAGTCCATGAGTGCCCCCACGTGGGCTTAGCTTCCTCACACATCAGGGTAGATCACCCCACCCCAAGTCCCCACCCACTGTCCCCACAGGGCAGTCACAAGCCACTTGCAGCTAATGAATGTGCCTGGTCTGAATTGAGAAGCGCTGGAAGTGTAAACTACACACTGGACTTTGAAAAAGTAGCTTGAGAAAGTGAATGTAAAACACCTCAATTTTGTCAACTGATTGCATGTTAAGTGCTGATATTTTTAATAGTTGGAATTAAATCACATATATTAGGAAAATTAATTTGACCTGTTTCTTTTTCACTTCTTAGATCGTATAACTGCACATGCGATTCACATCCCACTGCACAGCATAGCTGTACATGGAGGACCTGGATACCTGGTCAGCCAGGGGTCCCCAGTTCCTGTCCCAGTCACTCCAAGGAGACACTGAACTGCATTGGTATCAAGCGTGGTTAAGTTACAGTTCTCCACCACCAGGGGGCAGCATCTCCCCCTCAAAGAAGAACTGGGGGCTGGAACTGGTCTCAGTTCAGGGGTGCCTGGAACAAGGAAGACACTGGAAAGAAAAGCCAGGGGTCCCTCACCTGTTCTCCGTGGAACAAAAGAACTGAACCCATGGGTTGGTACTGCCACCTTCTGGAGCTGGGGGCAGGTACATGGCCTCAGAGAAGCACGTCAGCAGCAGTTTCAGCAGCTCCATCCTGGGGGATGGTTGATGGGAACAGGACACCTTAGGATCTCCATCCCCTCTAGGAGGGGGCTGCCCACCCTGGCCGGAACCCCTGCCCAGGTCCATAAAAACAAATGACCCCACACTCCTGTAAGGCCACAGCTGGATGGAAGTGGAGAGGGTCTCCTTGGAAGACCCCATGGGTCTCTGAGTTGTGCGGGAGCCCGGCCAGGCTCCAGCTATGCCGAGGGCTCTTGCCTGAGCCTCGCTCACCGGTTCATGTCGTGGATGTAGTTAGGCTGCGGGGAGTGGGCAAAGCCCACACCAGCCTCCCAGATGTATTCACAGCTGTCCAGGGAGTGGACATCCTCTGCTGAGTCCTGGGGACAGGGACAGAAAGAGAATGGGTGGGAGGTCACAAGGTGAATGGCGGTATGTGACAGAACCTGTCTAACCCAAGCTTCCTGCCATTCCAGGGGCAGTAACCCTTGAATCCTCCTAAAGACACCCTCAAAACACCCTGGGTCCCAATGTACAGGGAGGAAATGGATGTTCTTAGGTGGCTTAAGAATTACTTTTCAAACACTTACATGGATTGTTTTTACTTGCTCAGTACAGTTTGAGACAGGAAGGGAGGGAGGGGCAGGGAAAGGTGTCCCCAGTGGTGGGAGGGCAAGGAACACTCAAGGTCAAGCCCACGGACCACAGGAAATGAGAAGGCCAGTCCTGCTGGGTCCCTACTCCCCTACCCACCTCGTGCACACTAAGACAATGGAGGCCTATGCACAGCCGCCCAGAGGCAGTGGGCAGGGCCAGGCACCAGCTGGCTCCTCTCCAGTATACCAGCCACCACCCCCAGCCGGGACGTGCGTACCAGGCGGTCCAGCTCTCCTGAAGCACCCCAGCTCTGCTGACTGCATCCTATCCAAGGGGACTTTACGTGGCCCTGCCCCGACCCAGGGCCAGAGCCCACCCTTGTGGGGATGGCGGTGGGGCCTTACCACCGTGCTCCTGCGGTGGCTCTGGACTGTGAAGTCTGGGCAGAAGAGCAGGTCGGCGATGGCTAGGAGCAGGGACTCGGCCAGGGGACGGGCATTCTCATCCTCCTCCTCACCCTGCTGGGAAGGCAGGCTGCCTCAGTAGTGGCTGGCCAAGGAGAGGGGGACCCAAGGCTTGAGGGATGGTGGGGGACAGGAACTGGGTCCCTGCAGGCACCCGAGGGCAGAGGGATGGAGGAAGAGGAAGTAGACTTCTGCTCATGCCAAACCTCCCATGGCAGGAGGCAGAGCAGGGAAAGGGGCTAAGAACGGAGAGGAAACCTCCCCACTGACTGGGGTGCCAGGTCAAGGGCTCGGCCCTGCTGGGAATCACGAGGCCTCACCCCTCTGCCCTTAGCTGGAGACGAACCCAGGGTGCAAGGGGAGATGACAGCATGGCACTCTCTGCCCTCTGAAGGCCCAGCTCCCTGCTCCTGCCTCTGCACAGTTACCCCTGCTCTCAGCTCCCCTCCTCAGCCTTCATCCTCCAGGTTATAGGGACAGAGACCCCCACGGGAGAGGAAGCCAGGACCCAAGGAGGCATCACTGACCCCCATCCTTAGCAGCACCCCCCATTCCCGCCCCCACACTTCCAAATGCCAGAAGAGGTTTGGAGGAATGTGCCCTGTCACCTCCCACCCACCCTGGCCAGGCCCACAGACCCCTCCTCGTCCTGCCCCGGGCACTGTGGACCAGAAGAAGCCCCTCCAGTCGGGGTCCTCGAAGATGTAGGGCAGCACGCGGGTGAGCAGCCGGCTGCAGTTTAGGACAACCTGCTTCTCCTTCTCCGAGTGGCAGCCACTCTCAGCTCCCTGCACCAGCTTCTCCACAGCCTGTGGGGAGCAGCACAGGGCACGTGGGGTGGTGACCAGGTTGAGGGGACCCCAACTGCAGAGGGTCAGAGGCCCCACCGGGCAGGGCCATCTCTGCTGATGGGATCAGCCGGCCCGGGAGGACCTGGGTGTGGGTCAGAGCAGCCCAGAGCATCAGAGAAACAGAGCTTGGGCCACCACCTGATGGCCAAGACCTTGTAGGTGACAACACCTGTCTCGGCCTCAGTCTCCTCATCTGTAAAGTTGTGACACTAATAGTGCCACCTCACAGGGTGAGCGAGTGAGCTGACTTGTGCAGAGTGCTCGGCAAGGCTTGGCGGAGGTCTCTAAACTGTGGCTGCCATACTCACTTTCCCCAAGGGGAGGGCCACAGGGCAGGGGGACTGGGTGAAGCCTCAGGAGCACCGTGACCTGGGGGTGGGATGTCCTGGGTTCCTGTCCTCTCCCGCTGCAGGCTGGGCCATCATCAGCCACTCTGGGGAGGGCAGGAGTGGCAACGTGGGGCCAGGCAGCCCTTACCTTGTAGCACAGGGTGGCCAGGTTGGAGGGGGACTCTTCCCGCACAGCCCGGATCTCTGCCGCCGGCACCAACGCAAAGACATCCTGCACTGAGGTGGCTGTGTCTGCCCAGAACTGGTCCCAAAAGGCGTCATCCGTGGCTTCCACAGGCTGTGGGGGGACCCAGTGTCCAGACTGATACAACCCCTCACCAGTGGGGACACAGTTTACCCAAATCGTGGCCAGAAGAGATCCCAAGAGTGAAGCCACAGCCCCCTACTCCATCCCAACTGTTGCCCGGGAGTCTCCCCAAATGGGTGATGGACGTGGAACAGCTACCACAGCCCTGGCCAGCACAGCCAGGCTTAGAATGTGCACTCCAGGGGTCAACTGGCCACTGCATCCAGCAGGCTGTGTGTCCTGCCTGTGTCCCCATCCTCCTCTGGCAGGGAATGCTGTCCTGGCCAGCTGACACAATCCCCAGCCATACCACTAGGTCCTAGACCCATGGAAAGATGACAGTGGGGACATGTGCTCCATTTCCTCTCCCCCTCAGCCTCCTCTCTCTCAGCATGCCCCCCCAGGTGCCAAATCTAGGACTGATGACCCCACACATGTGCCCCCGCTCAGTTCAGTTCTCTCTCCAGGGCTCCTGCCTCCAAATTTACCTCCTTCAATCCTGTCTCGACACTGTCCCCAACCCATGTGCTAAATAAAGCACAGAGACCTATGGGGGCTCCCTGATGCCCACTGGACCAAGTCCAAACCTTGGCCCAAAGTCAGCCAAGACCTGCCTTACACATGCTTGCACACACATAATGCGTGCAAACAGATTTACACATACAAACACACACACACACTTGCATCTGTGTCTGTTACCCTAGGACATAACCCTGATAGCTCTTGTCTTTTCCATCACCCAGGTGTCCCTTTCCTTAGCACACTTCCCCCATTTCAACACTGCTCCAAAGTCCCCCAGGCCCTATCAGAGCAATATGCCTTAGACTCACGTGCTCCTTGAATCATGCAGACCGTCGCTCAGGCAACCAAGGCAACTAATTTGAATAATGAATTTCACTTTTAGAAATCTCTCCCATGGACATAATTGGAGATGTGACATATGAAGATATTTACTGTTATTACAACAATGTTTCAGTCATTGTTGGAAACAGTAGATAGTTGGAACTAAATAGCCATTCGTTGGTGACTACTTAAAAATCTAAGGCACATCCATAGAATGCAATGTTATGCAGCCATTTTCAAAGATATTAACTAATGGAAAATATAGCACAACATTTTGTTTTAAAAGACAAGTTATAAAACTATCTATAGGATGATCATAATTTTATGTTTAATTGCATATGAATAAAAGGTTAGAAGATGAGGTAGCAGGATTTTAGTTAAGGCAACAATCTCTTGGGAAGTTTTATAATTTTTTGGTTGAGCACCTGCTTTTTTCCTTCTGCATGCTCATCTGTGGGAGCCTAGGACTCTCTCTATTTGGGCTCCTTTGAAGGTCATCTCCTCCGAGATGCCTTCCCTGGTTGATCCCATCAACATAACCTTTTTTTTTTTTTTTTCCCCCTTCTCAGAAACCCCAGGGATCATAAAGCCTGATGGCCTGGCTACCTGAACTCTATACACATTATTCTTGTTATCAGAATTAATATACATAAATATATATATATATATATATATATATATATACACACATATTTATATAGATAAGTTTTTTTAATAAAAAAATAATTCTGTCCTCTGGAGCCTCTTCAAGTCTCCGGCCCCCACCCCTGTTCTTCACAGTTCCCAACTTGGGTCCAGGCACACTTGCCTTGAGCCCTTAGTCCCCAGCCCTACTTCTCTGACCTTGCAGTTGAGGCATAGGGCCAGTATTCAGACAGCATTTTTTCAGCTGAATTTGTAATCAGGCCTGGCAACCCCTTCAGCCAGGGAGTCTACCCAAACTCAGAGCTGGGGTTGCAGGCCTCACCAAGGTTGACACAGACCCTAGTCCACTGCCTGAACAAAGACCCCCACCCCGAGGGACCTATAAGGTAACTTGTGGCTCTGGCCCTCAGGACAGGCCTGACATAGCCACTGCTCAGTCCCAGAACTGGTAGAGCAAGTTAGCTGTGGGTAGAAGAACAAAGGCCAAAGGAGGGGCCCTGGAGCTGGGGTTCACTGGTCCTCAGGCCCCCAGTCCAACAGCTCTCAGATATGCAACTGGGGTATAGGAACATGACACTCCTGTCCAGATGGCCCGGGACCAGAATGGCGTGGGGCCAGAACCTAGGTTCTCCCCCATCTGGGAGCACCTCTGGGAAGCTGCCACCTCTGACATTTTGCCCACCTCCCAGGTAGCCATTACCCCCTTAAAGGGGAAGAGTCCAGTTGAACATCAAGCAGACATGACCTCTGACCTAACTCATCAGGCAAGCATCATCTGAGAACTGAATTCAAAAGGAAGGCAGAGACTTAGGATGGGACTGGGGAGGCCCAGGGAAGCCCCCTTCTAGACACAGAGGAAAGATCTCTTCAGGAACAGGTTCTGCCTCCCATTTCCTCAGCTTCGACCTCCTCTCCTAGTCCCATCGCAGTTTAGACATTGGTATTTGGTGACCATTCCTGACCCTACCAGGCTGATACTACAGCATTAGCCAGGGTCACTGGAGCCCTTTGGGCTTCTGAGAGCTCCCACCTCAGTGATCCCAGCTAGCCTCCACCCAACTCCAGGAAGCTTTCTTTGGAAAAAGCATTTTTGCTCTGGCCCCTGATGCTAAGGGCACAGAGAATGAACTTCCTACCCAGAAACCAGGTATTCCTAATCTGGTTTGCCAGGTGCCCTATCAGGCCAGACACCCATTCAGGCCTAGAGGACCAGCTATAGCTTTTGACAGTCTCTTGTTGGGGGCAGAAACTAATAGAAAATAGTGCTCCAACCTGCTAAGTATGACCTGTCCTGAAAGCCCGTGTCACCATAACATTCATATGTACATTGTGTGCACATGTGTGAACATGCACATCCCACCCCACTAGGTCTCCTCTGGCCTGCAGCAGAGAATCCCCAAACATGCAGGATCTTGGAGGGAGTCTCAAGTCGAGAGATGCCGCCCTCCAGGGACCTACCTACTCTAGGAAAGGATCAAGAAACAAAGCCAAAGCTGCTGGCCCTCAGGTCTAAGGTCAGGCCTGGCCCAGGGCTGGCTGATGGAGCAGGAAGAAAACAGGATGCAGAGCAGGAAGGCAGAGAAGGCCAAGCGGCAGCAAGCTCAGGCCTGGGCCACAGTAAAGGGTGCTGGGTCCACTTGTCTGCTACCCAAAGCACAGCATCTGAGAGCCTGAAATCAGAGATCATCCTGTGGACAACTGAATCTCTCAGGAACACTGAGTAAGTAAAGTCCAGGCTGACTATTTGGGAGCTTGTTCTCACACCCAGGCTGCCCCAAAAAGATCACTCTGCAGGGTCCAAGACTTTGGTCACTGAGGTCTCTTCCTCCAGACAGCCAGACCCTCTCCCACCTGCAGAACCCCAGTGCTGTCCCAAAGGAGGCCCCAGCTGGTCTCCAGTCTACTCCAGGTCCTAGTCCAAACCTCACTGTCCTCAGCTGGGAAACAGAACAGCACAATCTCACAAGGCTATAGCCAGGGACAGATAGAGGAAGGCTGTATTTGGAGGAGGGGACCTGAACAGGTAGGAATCCAGACCACTGCAGATCCTTTGGGACCTGGTGAGCTCGCCCTGCTGGCCTGGCAAAGGACCCAGCTGCTGAGCCACATTCATGCAGCAAGGTGACTCCTCACCAGGAGGGTAAACACAGGAACCACCCCCAAGCCCCACACTGAGAGGAAGGCTTACATGTCACAGACCTAATGCCCCATCCCAAAGCTTCAGAACCAGGCAGGAGCCAGGGGGATGGAGAGAAGCAGATCTGGTTTTTATCAAGAGCCTCTCAGCTGGGGCTAGAGACTCGGCCATGGGTCCTGGGCATTTGCTGAGCGCCTGACCTTCCCAGCGCAGGGATGAGAGTGTGGAAGCAGAAGTTCAGACTCTGGGGCTGTGACTGACTCGCTGTGAGTAGATGGCTTTCTCTACCCCACTCTAATTGCCAAGAGCAAGAGAGAGCCCTGAGAATAGCAGGGTGGGGGTGCCCCCCCAATGGCAATAAATCCAGAGCCTTTGCAAGCGAGGGACCTAGGGAGTCAGGATTAGGCATCTCGTTGGCTAGAATGGCCTGATTCAAGGGGCAAGGAGAGAAGTGGTGGGCAGGGCAGCAGCCTTGCTGAAGCCAGGTGGTTTGCTTTGGGGACAAGGAGGTGGTCCCCTGTGCCACTTGTGGACTCAGTGGAGAGTGTGTAAGTATTGACTAGGCTGAAAGGTACCCTCAGCTCCCTTGACAGCAGACCAAGGACAATCCCGTCTCCATCCCCAAAACAGAGAACATAGGATTCCGGCAACATCCATCCACTCCACAGAGCCTGAAGAAGGACTCCCCGGAGTGGTCCACTGCCGTGAAACTGGGGCTCTGTATGCTTGAGGACGGGTCCCCTTGCCAGGCTGCCGCGCTGCCCACCACTCTTTGCGTGTTCCTAGGAAGACCTGGGCCTTCCCTGGCCGCAGGCATCGACCGGGGCCCAGCGAGGCCGCTGCTGCCGCGCACCAGCTGTTTTCGCGACCCGGGCGGGCGCGGGCCCGGCTTTGTTTGCATTGAGTCAGCCGGGGTTGTGCGTCCGGGACCCGTGGGCACCGAAGGGCAGGGAGGGAAGCAGAGCGGCGGATGGGTGGGTGGGAGTGGGGGGATAGGCTGACGATGCGAGGCTGAGAGCGCTGGGGGGCGGGCGAGGCGGGCAGACAGCAGCATCGCCGGCTCGGGGAGAGGCACACGTCAGCCTAAGGTGGCAGCAGCAGCTGCGGGAAGAGAGGTGTTCCCGGGAGAGGAGACTGAGGTGGGGGGCTAGGGCCAGGGGATGGAGCCCTGCGGTACAGGCCAAGGGGTCTCGCTCCCACGCTGTCCTCTGCGTCACCCTCTGGACCAGCCTGTCGCCCCATCTCCCCGGGAGCCAAGTTCGCGCAGCCCCCGGCCCTGCCCAGCCCCCAGCCCAGCAGGTGGATGGGGAGGCTGGGGCCCCGGAGCGCACCTGCGTCTTGGTGGTGAGCTGGATCACCGCCTTCCGGAAGTTCAGCTTGGAGTCTGCGGATCCCATGTCGCTGGAGCCCGCTTCGGCCCGTCCCCCGCTCCGACTCTAGCCCGGGCTCTGGCTCGGGCTCCGGCTCCAGCTCCGCCGCCCTGCTGTTCTCGCAGGAGCCGAGCCGCGCACCCCGCCCGCCGCCCGGCGTCGGCCCCGCCCCTCGTGGCTCCGCCCCGCAGCCACGCCCTCCCTTGGCTCCGCCCCTCGCACCTGCCGCTGGATCTACACACGGCTCCCGGCTCTGCCAGAACCGGCCCAGCTCGGACCGGTGGTACCTCCGCGCCTTTCCCCCTGCGTCCGAGCGTTGTCCCCGCTCCGTCTCCCTCACCGCCACTCAGTCCCCAGGACCCGAAAACCTCCCAAGTCTCGTCCCCCGCCTCCGCCCCAACCTGACCCTCACTCTCTATCTAAGCTCCATCTCTGGGGGCGCATTCCCGTCGGCCCTCTCCACAGTTTCCTCCTTTTCAATCCGTCTTTCTCATTCTTTTTCCTTTTTTTTCCTGATCACTATTTCTCTTCGTCCCCTTTTCTCTGACCTGTCAAACCCACGTGTCCAGACACACCCGCAGTTACTCCGAGCACAAGCTGCAGACTTAGCCCTCGGTTCTGTTGGAAGGTGTCACCGCCCCAGGAAAGACACTTCGCGGCTTCATGAGAGCCAGAGGTCACTGTGGGTCTGGACCCCTCACAGGCCACCTGACTTCCCTGGAATACTTTGAGGCCCTTTCAATTCAACAAGTGTGTTGGGCCGCTGGTGTTTACCAACACCGTGTCAGGGACGGGAGCACACGCAGCCCGAGGCACAGAGCCTGCCCTGAAGAGCGAATAGCTGGGAAGAAATGAGGGCAGAATTACTCAAGGACAACCTAAGCATCCGATAGAGGCAAATTATTAACAACAACAACAACAAATATCTACCTCCTGAGGTAGGTACTGTCATCCCCCTTTTACACTTGGGAAAACTAGGTTAAAAGCAGTTCAGTCGTTTTCCCAAAGCCACAGAGCTAATAAGGAATAAATCCAAAAAAGCAAATAGAGCCCAGCTCCAAAAGAGGCTGCACTTTTCCCACAACATTGTCTTAAATGCTGTGCCTAGAAGCCTCTGAAGGTCCTGGATGCTTCAAAAGGAGGTAACATTTATCTTAAACTGGAATCCCACAGTAAAAAGGAATGTACCATCAAGTCAGCATCTGGGGTGTGAATGCAGGGTGGAGCAGGTGGAGAGGTGGGGAGGAGGGGGCAGGGGTGTTGAGGGTTCACCAGAAAAGCAGGCTAGACAGGGAACAATCACAGGGTAACTCTATCTTTCCTCCACAGTGTGCTGTCCTTGTTTGAAACAAAATTCTTGGCAGATCCAATGGCTTTTCTAATCACTCCAAGAAAATGAATGAATAGTTCTTTTATTGGGCCTTAAAAAATATATAATCCATTCTACAAATTGCTCAACCCCAGTTCAGGTCAGAGTGACATTAAAAACTCTGAATCACAGTTGTTAGGAATATGCAAATAGAAACCATAAGATAATGCTACATTACTGAATGGAATGATTTAAAAGGACACTGACAATATCAAATGCTGACAAGGATGAGGAGCAACTGGAACTCTCTCATACATTGTTGGTGGGAATGCAAAATGGAAATACTTCTTTGGAAAATAGTCTGGTGGTTTCTTAAAAAGTTAAATATATATTTATTATGCAACTCATGAGTTGGGTGTGATGCTGCACGCCTGTAATCCCAGTGAAGCAGGAGGCTGAGGAAGGAAGATCACAAATTGGAGGCCAGCCTCAGCAACTTAGTGAAGCCCTTGGCAAATTAGCAAAGATCCTGTCTCAAAAGAAAATATAAAAAAGGACAGGGAATGTAGCACAGAGGTAAAACATCCCTGGATTCAATCCCCAGTACTTAAAAAAAAAATCAATAATGCCACTTAGGTATTTACCCAGGAAAAATGAAGACGTAGATCTACTTAAAAACCTATAGGCAGGGGCTGGGGTTGTGGCTCAGTGGTAGAGTGCTTGCCTCACATGCGTGAGGCACTGGGTTCAATTCTCAGCACCACATATAAATAAGTGAATAAAATAAAGGTCCATCAACACTAAAAAATATTTTAAAAAAACTATAGGCAGATGCTGCTGCAATTACATTCATAATTACCACAAACTGGAAACTACCAATTTCCCATCAACTGGTGAATAAACCAATTAGTTCATTCATAATGAGACTAGTACTCAGCAATGAAAAGGAACCACCGACACAGCAACAGTGTGCCTGGATCTCAAAAGCTTTATGCTAAGTGAATGAAGCTAGGCATAAAGTAAAATGTACAACATTATCATTTATATGACATTCTGGAAAAGGAGAAACAAGGGCCACAGAAAAGAGAACTGTAGGTGCCATAGGCTGGGAGTGGAATGCGGGGACTGAGACAGGGAATGAGGAAACTCCGTGCTGTGGTGGTCCCATGCCTGTACAGAGTTGTCAACGTTCCTGTAACTAAATGCCCCCAAAAAGGTAAATTTTACTGTACATAAACTGGACCTCGAGAAAGTTGATTTTTTCAAATATTTATTTTTTGGTGGAGATGGACACAACACAATGCATTTTTTTATTTTTATGTGGTGCTGAGGATGGAACCCCGGTCCCGCCCGTGCTAGGCGATTGCTCTACCACTGAGCCACAATCCCAGCCCTGAGAAAGTTGATTTTTTAAATGAAAGAAAAAGAACCAAGAGTGTATAGTAAATAGAAAAAAAAAAGTCTAGTTTTATGCATGAAAATATTAGGAGGAAATAAAACAGAGCTTTTGAACGTTTAAAGAAATTACCTATCCCTTATGAATTTGAGGATTCCCTAGAAGTTCTTTTTTTTCAAGTTATCAATGGACCCTTATTTTATTTATTTATATGCAGTGCTGAGATTGAACCCGGTGCCTCACACATCGTAGGCAAGCGCGCTACCACTGAGCCACAACCCCAGCCCCCAAGAAGGTTCTTGCTATGATTTCTCCGTACTGAAACCACATCGCACCCTCCCATTACACCCAGCTTCAAAGGAAAGCTTTCTGGCCTGTGGCTCCTGTGGCCCTCCCTGGGGCCCTTTTTCTGAGTCCAACCATCATCCAACAAGCGTTTTTACTCAGCACCTGCAAAGTGCCGAGTACCATTCAAGGTACCGGGGTCTAAGCTACAAAGGTAAGCTCCTACTGCCAAGATGTACCAGGCAACAGTAAAAACTAGAGTTTTGCGGTTAAGATTGGACATCTGTCCAGGGCCCTGGTGGAAGCAGGTTAAAAAAAAAAAGACTAGACAGATTGGGGAGGCGGGGCTGAGGCATGGAGGATGATGGAATTTATCAGTCAGGGTCCCAGCTGGACATGGATGGAACATTTGGACAGAGTAATCAAAGAGTTACTCAAAAGGTTATGTCCTGGGACACACTCTGAGGCTAGAAGGGGTGATCTGCCTCAACCATTCACATGCTGGAGGGTCCAAGGGAAAGAGTGATATCCAGAATTCAAAGAGAGAGGGAGTGAGCCTGCCACAGGAGCGGTGGTGTCTCAGGGCCTGGAAGGGAGGGAGATGTGCATTAGATACCCCACCCCCACCCCTCTCCTGCCTCCAATTTCCTGCCCATCAGGTGAACCCACAGAAAGCAAGAGGGCAAGGGAGCCCACTGTTGCACCCCATAAAAGCTCAGCCTGTGGGGCATGGAGACAAGTGCAGGAAATGGGAAGAGATTTCCAAGGGCAAATGGGCAAGGGCCAGCACCCAGTTCTTAGAGCGAGTGGAAGGAAGGCCCAGAAGTGTAGCGAGCCTGGCCCTCCCAGGGAGCAGGAATACCTGGCCCAAATGTAGAGCTTTTGACTAGTGAAAGTTTGAGCCTACACACAACCTGATAAGAAGCTTGAATTTTATTCTATGAGCAATAAAAAGCCTTTGAAGTAGAGAAATATGTCCTCATTGGGTCTTAGTGAATCATCCTAGCTGGGGCAGGACGGACAAAGTGATGGAAGACAGAGAACACAGCTGGAAGTGAGAGTTGATAAGAGCTGAACCAAAGCAGTAACATGTGGATAGAAAAGAAAAAGCAAAAGGAACCCTGTTAATTAGTGGTTCCTCTGATTTGTGTTCTAGGTACAACTGAGGTATAAGCAACCTCCCCTCCAAACTTGGTATAAAACAATAACCATTTTCTTATGTTTTTGCATTCTATGTGTTAGTAATTCAGACAGGGAGCCTGCTGAGATGGCTGGTGACTGTTCCATGTGTCTGGAGTCTCAGCTGGGAAGACTAGGGTGACTGGGGCGGGGCTTAGGGAGCTGGAGTCATCTGAAGGCTCTTCACTCTTGTTTCTGATGCCTACACTGCAAAAGCCCAAAGGCTGGGCTCAACTGAGTCCGAAGACAAAGCACCAAGACTTCTAAGAGGGAGCATCTCAAGGATATATATAGCGGGGCACAGAGGTGCACGCCTGTAATCCCAGTGGCTCAGGAGGGTGAGGCAGGAGGTTCAAAGGCAGCCTCAGCAACTTAGTGAGGCTCTGAGCAAGTCAATGAGACCCTGTCTCTAAATAAAATATAAACAAGGGCTGAGGGTGTGGCTCAGTGGATAAGTGCCCCTGGGTTCAATCCCTGGTGCAAAAAAAAAAAAAAAAAAAAAATGCATATGAAAAGAGGCTGCTCCCGGAGAACAAGAGGGAAGCTGTGTACCTAGCCTGGGGAGCAACACCCCAAGTCCCTTCTGCCATACTCTATTGGTCAGAATAGTCTCAAGCCCACGGATTTAAGGGAAGCCCCCTCTCTTCGGAAGGAAGATCAAAGAATTTAGCATCACATTGAAAACTCCACATTGTGGGTGATTCTGTTCTCCATACTCCTTCCCCTTAACCTCACCCTCCTTGATTCTGACCCTTGGCTCCAAGTCTTCTCCTCCCAGAAAAAAAAATGGCATCTCCCAGGTGCACAAGTCGCCTTTAATGTCTCTTCTCTCCTCACCCCTACATCAGTCCACTGGTAAGTCCTGATAATGTTGTCCCCCAAACATATATCGTATCTTTCTGCCTCCATCTCCACTGCCCCCACCTTTGCCAGGGCCCAGTTGCCTCTCTCTACAGTGGGCCCCTCACATCTGTTTCCAGTACAACAACCCTCGGACTTTCAAA